GGGGGGATTTGGTCAGATGAGGGCTAGAGGTAACTATTTCCATATTCTTTGTTAAGAAAAAGAAATTGATTTTGAGGTGCAATAGGCATTTCTTGAACATAGACACAACGCGAACTAAAATTGTGGCGAAACTACTGGATGGTTTGATTTGATAATATTTATATACATTTTGCATGCAATATCGCTTTAATGTCTCCATTGCGCTACTTTTGGCATTTTGATTCAAATGGACAAGGTTGCTTCTGACTCTCAGCCTATATTAATGTATTTATTTTGTCGAGTATCGGCGTTTTGCTCCTGAAATTATTTTTCCGATTGAGTTCGGTTTAAAGGTCAAGATTGATTTTAATTCTCTTGATTGGAAGGATAAATATTTACAACCTTTACAAGATTTCAATTGTGACCTCACGTCAACCCTAGTTGACCCTAGTCATTCCGCCATGGCACGCAGAAGAAGTGAGTTTGATTCTTGTGTCGTGAGAATTTTCTATCGAATACCGTTGTCTTTCTACCGGGATTTTTTCTTTATCACTTTCTGCCTGCGTGAGCGATGACAGCCTGCTTTGTTATCTTATATTGTGTCGATGAGAGCGTAAATCATCTGCTCAACTTTTTATATCCTCATCTTTGGTAGCTCTTGTATGATCTGCTCCTTATACTACCATTAATTAATATTATTCACATTTCCAAATATAGTATTGACCTTAATGGTCTGAATAGGGTGGATTGAGGTGTAAAACTTCATCATTTTTGTTGTTGCCTTCATCAAATTACAGCGTGCAAGTGGTGGTCGTAAAAGTTTACAACGTTACAATAAAGTCAATTAATGTGTCACGTCAGCCAATATAGCTGCGCCTTTGTGTTAGACTCCTTCGTTTGTCCTTCAACTACCACCTCAAATTTTCGACACTCGTATAACCTAATTGTGTTGCAAGTGCCGTAAAACGCTAAATCAAACTAAAAGTCCCTAGATAGCTTCGATTGACAGGGTTCAAACTCCATAACGCATAGCTTTGGAAAAAAAAAGAAGAAAAACAACTGGACTCGAAGATCAACACTCTTATGGCTAAAGTATTTTTACACCTTATCTGATAAGCGTCAAACTGAAAAATAAATACAGGTCAGATTGTCTCGGGCCTTTGACATGAACACAGTATGCAAAGCATTAATGTCAGACATGTGTGTGGTGTAATTCGTTCTCGCAAAGAACTTACAAAGTTGGAGATAAAACCAAGTCATTCTGAGGGTGCGATACGCTGTGATAGGCTATTGTTGTCAGGCCACATTCACTGGCAAATATATTGCACACATGGGGGGAAATAATTGGTCGCTTTTAAGCACAAGGGCGCTATCCCGAAACATACTGTTTTGAGAAAATAGAAGGTAAGGTTTTTGCCCCGAGTTCAGTCTCTATAAAATACAAGGAGAGTTTTCTCTATAACCAAACAAATATACACACTAATGAAACCAAACTTTTCCCTTAGGTAGAGCAATGCCCACTTTTGGTGTATGTCAAGATTTGTGGAACCCCCCCCCCCCCTAATTCTGGGTTAGCCTGCTTGTCCTTAAGTGACCATATATAAAGCAGAATATGAAGCATAACGCCATGTGTCTTCGTACATCAGGACTATCACAGCCCACAGTATCCTGTTCTTTGGGCTGCGGTTTTTGTTTGCTCCCTTTTTATCAAACAACTTTCGTCCTTATCTCTCCAC